TATTGTTCACGCGCCTTCACGAAGCGTCACAATGATCTAGCGTACCTTCCCGATCTGACGGTTCTCGAAGGGGACCAAAACGGCAGCAGCGGCAGCACGGCAGCGACGACCGACAGCCCCCAACCTACGCCCTCCACACAATCACGATCTCCACACACTCTCCGTACGCGGCATATCTCGAGCAAATACCCAGAAATTAATGCGGAATCCCACCGTCTTGTTCAAGCCACAAAGAATCTTAGGGTACTAGACGCGCCGGGTCCCTGAAAGCCGCCAGGCGCCTTGCGTTCGACATTGAACCTCCCTCGCGACACACGGCTGTCACTGCCTGTTGCTGTCCACCCCACAATCCCCACGGCGCTCCTTCACCATGGCTTACAACGCGCTAAACAACGAGCCCAGCTCGCCCTTGACCGAGATTTCGGATTCAGATCTCTCTATTCTTTCTCGGTCGCCCACTCCACCGGCTGAGCTTAACAAATCCTTCGCTCAACGTCGCGCATACATGTCCCCATCCTCCTCGCGACGCTCATCCGCCAAGACGTCACCCGCGCCCGAAGACATGCCTTCTCCCCCGTCCAGCAACGACGACAACCCGCGTCCAGTAAAGAGGAGGAAGACGGCAGAGCCCAAGGAGCGCACGGCAGAATACCTTGACCTCTCCAGGTCCGACGTCGAACAAGACGAGCTACCACAGCTGCAACGCTTGCTGAGCGTTCTGCACAAGAAGCGCAAGATTGTGGTTATAGCAGGTGCAGGCATTTCGGTTTCGGCAGGCATTCCCGATTTCCGATCAGCTACTGGCCTCTTCAACACGCTCAAGAAGGAGCACAAGCTCAAGTCCTCCGGCAAGGACCTCTTCGACGCGTCTGTTTACCAGGATGACACGTCCACGTCGACATTTCACGACATGGTGCGCACCCTGTCCCAGCACACGAAATCTGCGCAGCCCACCGCCTTCCACCATCTTCTCGCGACCCTAGCCCAAGAAGGGCGCCTCATGCGGCTTTACACCCAGAACGTCGACGGCATAGACACGTCACTACCCCCTCTGAGCACAACGGTGCCTCTGCCGAAGAAAGGGCCTTGGCCCAAGACTGTCCAAGTACATGGTGGTCTGGATTACATGGTGTGTTCTAAGTGCCAGAAGGTAGAGCCCTTCGACGCCGAGCAGTTCAACGGGCCTAGCCCACCACCCTGCCCAAGCTGTGTGGAGAACGACGAGATCCGCCAAGTCGCAGACAAGCGCAGCCACGGCATTGGCCGCCTGCGTCCTCGTATGGTTCTCTACAACGAACATAATCCTGATGATGAGTCGATCGGCTCTTGTGCATCCTATGACATGCGCATGAGACCAGACGCTGTTATCGTGGCTGGCACCACGTTGAAGGTCCCCGGTGTGCGTCGCATCGCCCGCGAGATGTGCAATATCGTTCGCGACCGGAAGGATGGAGTCACGGTCTGGCTGAACAACGATCCGGAGCCGATGGGCAAAGATCTCGAGGACAAGTGGGACCTAGTAGTCAAAGGTCCTTGCGATGAAGTCGCGCGCCATGCCAATATGCGACGATGGGACGACCCGATGGACTATAAGACAGTCACAGAAGAGGATCTCAACAAGGTCAGGGAGAAGCAAAGAGCAGAGGTCATCATCGGAACCCCTCGAAAGCCTGGTGTCCTACGCAATGCAGGCCAGCTTACACCTGGACAAAGCCCTCGCATACTGCCACTATCTTTTAACAAAGCGGAACCAGACACACCGTCTAAGAAGGGCACGAAGAGGAAGGCAGACGCCAAGGCAGACGGGCAGATGGATCTGTTCGGCAAGCCCGCAACCAAAGCACCCGCAAAGAAGCCGAAAGCACAGCCAAAGAAGGCAACAGCAGCAAGCAAGAGCAAGGCGGGCAAGAAGGAGCCGAAGAAAGAGGCTCCCGCTATCAACAACGTCTTCAAGGCTACCAAGGGCGGCGCCAAAGCTACAGGCAAGCCTCTGGCCAAAGCATCTGATCCGGCCCTTACCGTTATCGAGTCAAAGTTTAACGAGCAAACTCGGCTCAATCCGAAGGAGAATGCCAGCGACACGATTCACATCGAGAAGCGACGGACTCCATCGACCCCCAGGAAGCCAGCAAGACTGACCAAGATAAAGTCAGACTTTGTGTTCCAGCCTGTTTCGAGTGCAGATAGCCGCAACAACCACTCACCGAAGCGACCACCGATAGAAAGCTTCACACCTACAAAGGACCGTACACCCAGTGCTCAAATTCAGGAGGAGATGGCATACGCGCATGCGACGTCGTCTACGAGCGATTCTCGTCCTTCATCCTCGGGCAGCGCACAGCGGCACATCATTGAAAGCCCAACCGGCCCGGTACCCAAAAACATGAATCACCTTCTCTGCTAGCGAACTGCATTTCTCGGCGTTGGCGGGCTTCCTTTTCCAGACAGACGCCGTATCTATCTGCGCGGTGCATTGCATGAGAGGCGTTTGCGGGTTTACAAGTGTACAGTTGAGGTGTTAGTTGTACCAGTACTTTTCTCGTTGTTGGACATGCATATCTTACCTTTTGGCTGCATGATACCCAGATGAACCCCTGGTAGAGGCAGGTCGGACGCTTTGGCGTCCTTATTCAGCGTAGTGTAGTGGTTCCGATGATAGTTAAGGCTTAGGCCTTCGTTGATATTCGTGACAAATGCGATATATTTATTATTACCTGGTGTTGAGACAATCTATCGATGTTTGCGATAACTGGAACTTGAACGAACTATCAGTGTATAGCTGCACCTTTCTCTCTTATACCTGCAAATGAACCTCTGTGCCCTGGAATTGCGCCTCCCTTGCGCGCCTTCTTAAGACTGGCGCCTTGGCACTTGATTCGGCCTGTGCACGTTGGCTGACGACCATTTCTCAACCTTTCATTGTTCAAGCATCTACACCCTGGCGAGACAAAGGTTTACCCTTTGTTCGAGACGGCATCTTTCCGCATTCACCAGTCCCGCAACAAAGTCATTCACCTGGAATAGCTTCGGTCGACACCTCAACCTTGTCAACATCTCTACACGCTGACGTGTCTTGAGAGATCCCAAATCCTACCCTTGCAGGATATTGCAGTAACAAAGAGCTGGACTTATCGGTCATGGCTTCACCGCTAACCGTTCGAAATTTGACGCCTACCACCCTCTCCATCCAGCGTGTCGAGCGATTTGAGGACCCAAATACGCTCCAGTCCAAAGCAAGCGGGTACTTCCTCGGTGCTCAAAGCACCCCATCCGCGGCACCCACTTCACCTGAACTCAGCAGCCATGCACAAAGCTTCAACGATCAAGATCTCCAAATTGTCTTGCAGCCCTTCGAGTCGTATACATTAACAATTGCAAACTCGAAGCAGTCCAACGCACCTACACTATCAAATCCAACGCTCCGTCTCACCATTCAGACAGCTAATGGTGAACGCCATCGGATTGATACGCACCCGTCATATACTCAAAAGTCAACGCAGTCGTTCACTCCGCTATCCGCAGATTCTTCAACAACCTACAAAGCCCTCTTTCACCCATCGAAACCAGTTCCCCATCTCTCGATCCATGCGAACCGCATTCTAAACTACTCTTCATGGATGGGCTCATTACCAGATGATCTACCTCTATCAGCTATAAGCATTCCGGGATCGCACAATGCACATACGCACTATCGCGCCCTCCCATCTGTTCGATGCCAGCTCCACGATGTGAAGGTACAGCTAGAAAATGGGATCAGGTTCTTGGACATACGTGTACAGCCAACACACGCGACGGATGCATCAAAGAAAGACCTTTACCTAGTCCACGGCGCATTCCCTGTGAGTCTGACAGGACCGAAGTACCTTGAACCTATCCTAAAGATATGCTACGACTTTCTCTTAGCCAACCCCAGCGAGACGGTATTGGTGAGTTTGAAGCGAGAAGGTGTGGGAAGCGCGACGGACGAACATCTTGCCCGCATCCTAGAGGAGCACTACATCACCCCCCATGCGCGCCATTGGTACACGGAGAACGCGATACCGTACTTGGGAGCTGTAAGGAGCAAGCTGGTTTTGGTACGGCGGTACAATGTAGCCCGGACTGTGGCTTCGTCTTCGAGTTCAGATTGTAAGAATGGCGGGCTAGACGCAACAGCCTGGCCGCACAACGCAACCCACGCCGTCTTCCCGTCGCACTCTTCCGCACCAACGTTTTGTCTCCAAGACTTCTGCGAGGTCCTTGTACCGGACATCATACCAACCAAGATACAGCATTGCAACGACCATCTTGTGCGTTCTGCCGCCGCTGTTCACCCCATTCCTGGTATCACAACCGATGTCACGAATCCAGTACCACCAGGTCCTTTATATCTCAACTTTCTCTCTGGTAGCAACTTCTGGAAGAAATCCTGCTGGCCTGGGGCTATCGCCAAGATTGTTAACAGGGGCATGGAAGAGTGGCTTTGTGAGGGGCATCACTTAGAGGCTCCAAATACGACGCCTCGCCATCCGGAGGTCGCAGATGAGAGCGCCGAGGGTGTAATGAGGAGGGTGAAAAGCGGTGACGGAAGTACGGGTGTTGTTGTGATGGATAATGTGGGAGAGAATGGGGATTGGGAGTTGGTCAAGTTGATCGTGGGTATGAATATGGGAGTGATAGCGAAGATGAGAGCAATGGAGGAGACTTGATGGAACACCGATTCGATATAAGATCACAAACATGTACATTTGATATCCAAGATCTTGTCCACACTGATACCCCACCTGTTGGCTCGTGAGTGCCATGTGCAAGTGGTGAACGGGGAGCGTCTGTGCATCTCCGAGATGCCGACGGAACATTTTGGCGATGCGCATCATGCATTTGGCATACCATAGCCCACGACGTGCGTACCATGCATTGCTCGGCCTCAGGAACTACGGCTGTCAACAAGACAATCCGAAGATAGCCGCGACCCAGCGCCAATCCAGTGCGACAATTGTGGTGGACCGGCGCATCTCACAATGTCACTCCTCCGACCAACGTGCGCATCGCTCGCGCGGCGACTCTGCACTGCACAACCGTTGTCGGAGCCAACCCTGAGGTCGCCTTTATTAGCCCTTATACAGCGACATCGATCATCGCGACCGCAATGTCGTGCCTTCGTCTCCACGCCCCGCTATCGAGCAAGAGTTATAGACACCCCGCAGAACCCGAGCATCCCCTCATCACGCAAGCGCACAGTCAGGATAGGTCCTCTACCGGAAGGGCCAGTCAGCGAACCAACGATACATCGGATCTTTGGGCGAAAGCTATCGGGTCATGATGGTAACAATGTTCTGCGGATATTACACCACCGAAGGACAGCAGGCTCGCTCGCCGACTATGGCGTTGACAATCTGGGGAAACAATACACACACGTGAGCAGGGATACGGCATTGAAGGGCCTGGAGTGGTTACGAGAAAAGTACCCAATAGATGAGGCGCGTGCGGCGGAGGAATGGGCAGAGAAGGAGGCAAACCGCATAGCCTACGAGCTGTGGCTGGCCGACCCAGAAACTGAGTCCAAATACAAAGACCCCGCTCGCGCATTCCGAGAACAAATGGAGAAGGAAGAGGCAGAGAGGATACAACAGGAAGTGGACAATCGGAAGATTGGCATACTGCATGCAGGCAAGAGTCAGTTTGAGCTCAACATCGAAGAGAAGAGGAGACAACGATTAGAAGAGATTACACGGAAAGCAGAAGAGAAGGAGCAACAAGAGAGGGAGATGGAGGAGAAACTTGCGACTGGAGAGTACGTGCGTACACCAACTGGCACGCAGCTCATGAAGCCCGGTCAAACAGCCTATGTCGATGTCTTCGGTCGCGAACAAGTCAGCCGGAGGAAAGAGGAGATGGAGAAATACAGCAAGGCAGCTCAAATAACGGATGCGAAGACGGAAGAAGAGCTACTCGCACAAACAACGCTTGTAAGCACCACATCCCCTCTCTACTCAGATTGACACCATCACTAACACCATCGCAGGCGCAACGTCTCTACCCCATGTCCGCCTTTGTCTTCCTCACAGTCCTAATCTGCTACGGTTTCGCCCACTACTACCTCCCGCCCTCGCCCTCCTACCGCCTCCTCCCCGACCTCAGCCCCACAACCGCCACCATCGGCGCGCTGCTGGCCATAAACGTCGGTATAGCAGTAGCATGGCGCGTGATGCCCCTCTGGCCCATCCTAACCCGCTACTTCATGCACGTCCCCGGCTACCCGCGCGCCGTCCAAAGCGTCCTCAACGTCTTCAGCCACGTGCAGTACGAGCATCTCCTCGCCAACATGATGATGCTATGTCTCGTCGGCCCCGCATGCTGCGACCTCGTTGGCCGCGGCACCTTCATGGGTACATACATCTCCGCTGGCGCCGTGGGCACTTTGTTCTCCCTCTACTGGGCTAATCTCGGCCGCGGAAATATTACTGCTCATTCCGTCGGTGCTTCCGCAGCTATCTGGGGCATCTCCGTCCTCTACTGCCTCCTCACCGATCAAGAGAAACTCAAAATCCCTTTTGTAAAAGAGCAGGAAGTGGCGTTTTGGCCTAAGATGCTGTTGGGTGCTTTTATCGCGCTTGAGATCTTCCAATCGTTCAAGAAGGGGACGTCGACTGCGGATCATGCTAGTCATTATGGTGGCATGTTTGTCGGGTTTGTGACGGCGGGGTATATGCATGCGAATGGGTGGAAGGATAGGCCGCGGTTTGTGGATAGAGAGGGTGGCGTTGTTGAACAAGGGGTTCAGGAGAGGGCGGGCGTGGATGGGAAGACGGTGGATGTTGGGGCGGTTGTTAAGGACGTTAAGGAGAGTTTGACGGGCGGTGGGAAGTAGGGGGTTGGACTGTGTGTGTGGATGGAATGTGAGTGTGGTATGTATCATTATACCTGTACAAAAAGAGCCTGACACGATACGACATAACACAGCCAACGTTCAACCATTACTTGCACGTCAGGGAACATGTAAGCGGGTGGAGGCTGTGGCGGAGGCCCTTCCTATGCTATCTCTCAGTTCCTACTCCTTTCGTGCTCCCAGTCAAATCCGTCAGTTTCCGCTCACACCCAGCTAAAATCACACAAGACAGCAGCGACACTACTCATTCGAACAACCAACAAAAGCTTCAAATTCTTTTCCAACGCTGTATACAAGACAGCCTCGACAGCCTCCTCTAACTTTCTCAAACAGCAGGGAAAACATAAACACCCTTCTGCAGCGCCACCTGCACACCCGACACAGGCCTAACATACTTCCTCACGCTCTCCACCGCATCATCCAGCAACATCGCCACCAAATTCCCAAACACAACACTCCCCTCCGCATTCAAATGCGTGTTATCGTCCGCCTTGAGATTATACGTATGCGCCTTCTCCGCCCCAATCGCATTCAAATACGCCGTACTCGCCGCATTCAAATCGATGATATCAGCGCCGCTCTTACTCGCCGCTTCTTTCGTCGCGGCCACCACATCCGCGAGGTTTAGTTTGATCTTCCCGTCGGCATCGTAGTTGCGTCGGCTTAGGGATGTAACGAGGATGGGCGTTGCGCCTACATCCCGCGCTTCTTTTACATACGCAATTAGATTGTTTGTGAGATCTGCGGCGCTGATATTCTTATCGGGTTTCTGGTCGTTGTGCCCGAATTGGATGGTAACGTAGGGCGTGTATTTGCTTGAGACGTTTTGAGCGGAGGATAGTACGGTTGCCCAGTCGCCGCCTTGCCGGAAAGACACGGTTGTTGCGCCGTTGTGGCCGTAGTTTGTGCCTGAAGCACCGTTTTGGAGCGTTGTGGTTAGGAAGCCGGTGCCCCAGCCGCCGCCGCCTGCGGATTGTACGGCTGTTGTTGAGTCGCCGGCGAGGAGGAAGTAGGGTGGTTTTTGGGCGCTGGGTTTGGGTTTGGGCTTGGAAGAGGGAAGGGCGGATGCGGTGGCGAGGAGGGTGAGGTAGGTGAGGGTTATTGGGAGATGCATCTTGATGCTATTTGGCTCTGCCGCTGTGAGATAGATTGAATGGAATCGCAAATTTCGAGCTGCTGATGGTTTGCCTGCCGGTTTCGATGAAGGATGCTCATTACTTATATACCCATGAACTGATCTCCTTCATCCCTACATCGTCTACCTTCTAGATGACAATTGATCGGAATTTTACCCCATCATTTCCTTTTCGGGGCCGATGGTCGCTGGGGTAGAGTAGATGGTCTGGGGTAGCTTGTAACGTTCGTGTTGATGCATTTCCACCAATCGGGCCCGGGGAAATCAACGGGAACGTCATCGGTGTTGTTTCGCGGAGGAAATGCGATCCCGCGAAAAACGGGAGAGAAACTGGATAAACGTATGGTTCCCGTTCGCCCGGCTTTGTGGAGTTGGAATGCGCATGTTTTGCCTGTGTATGAAGAGTTGTCGATGCTGGCTGAAATCCATGAGGCTGGGTTCGCAGGCCTGGAACGTTCTTGCCCGAGGCAGTTAGACTCGGCTGGCTACACAGCCTCGTCTTACTCAAGAGTAGGCGCAGCCTTCTTGTTCACTCCCAGGCATCTCTGTAATTGTTCCAACATCTCATTGTTCATCTGCTACCTAGGCATCTCGGATTGTAGCTCTTTATCGAAGACTATTGAAGATGCGCACCATCAAGGTATGGCTGGACAAGCTTCTGCAACTAACCTCCGAGGACAAGGGCACGATATCGAAATCAGCAGACTTATGCGCAGATTGCGCACGATGGGACTTCTCAACCGTGTTTCTTGGCAAACAATATCCTGCTTACGCGTGTGGAGTCATCAGAGACCATTCAAGACGTCCGGTCTGGGATGTCCGCTCCCTGCAAACCGTCAGACTTGCGAAGACTTGCCCGATGTGTAGTTTCTTCGTGTCTCTACTCGTTATTCGAGGCCAGATAAAGGAAGACGACATATCAGCCTCAGAAAAAGATCTGGTTGTACAATTCAACAAGGTTGCATTGAGCGATAGTCACGGGGCTGTGTTTCTAAGGGTTATCGATCGACAAGCCTCCCAAGCATCATACTCCAACACATGGCCTGATTACATCGAAGCGGCTGCTGGTCGCGAATGGATCACTGTGTTGCCAGAGCGTTTGACGCCATACTGTAACATCAAAGGGTTATCATTGTGGGTGAGAAAATGTTTGGAGGACCCGCATGACTCCCATTTCGATTGCGCGAAGAGTCGCTTCACAACAAGAACTTTGGACACGCTACGACTGATCGATGTGAAAGCAATGTGCCTGAAATCAAAGCAGTTGCCAACGAAATACGCTGCCCTAAGCTATGTCTGGGGCCCATCTCACCTTACACAACTGAAGTTGCACCAAACGGAAGTGGAAGCCATGTCAAAGCGCAATGCATTGAGGCGACGGTGGGATGAGGTACCAGCAACGATCAGAGACGCCATGGAAGTTTGTATCGGATGCGGCATTCGATATCTCTGGGTCGACGCTCTTTGTCTGATTCAGGACGCGCCAGATCTTCCACGACATCTGGACAAGATGACGGAGATTTATGATACAGCTGTCATGACAATTGTAGCAGCTTGTGCCGATTCATCGTGGACAGGCCTTAGCGGGGTGTCGATAGCACGCCCTATGTCGCAACACCGCGTGTCCATCGGAAACATAGCTCTCATGGAAGCTTTGCCACCACTGGGAGCTGAGCTGAAGAACGCACGCTGGACTCAGCGTGGCTGGACGTTCCAGGAACAAATATTCTCAAGGCGATGTCTGTTCTTCTTGGAAAATCGAGTGGTCTTTCAATGTAAAGATGGGTGGATTGACGAGAGCATCGACTGCGACTATAGTGGGCGGATTCTCAAACAAGCAATAACTTTGACTCGGATGTCTTTGCCAGCGAGCAGGGATGAGTTTGACTTCCTGTGCTTTGTGGAATGCTTCTGCAGACTTGAGCTTACGTACGATTCCGATACTCTCAAAGCGTGTACGGGCGTTATAGCGTGGCTCGAACAGAAAGGCACCCAATTCTTCTGGGCCACACCTACAGACCGTATACTGGACGGTCTTGACTTTGAGACTAAAGGACTGGAACGACGACCCGGCTATCCTAGCTGGTCCTGGCTAGGCTGGCGGCGACCGCACGCTCAAGATAAAAGTTCCCAAGAGTTCTTTTCCAGCAGAAAGCATGTGGAAATTAAGGACTTGTGCAAGATCAGCATTCTGTCACCAAACAATGATCTAAAGAGGGAGGCAGCGGACTTTGAGACACTGCAGCTGTCGGCGAATGATCTGGATAAGCTCCTCATAATGGAGGCTTCTGTCGCGGAGTTTTCAGAACTGGAAGGAGCATTATTATGTCGCGATGACTTGGAACATTCCGACATTCGGCCACACTTAGTTCACAATGACGACGAGGCAGGCAAGATTGAGCTGGTGGGTCTTACGCAAGAATTCGAGCTCATGATTACTCCAGACCCACTCTATGTGAACTGCTTAATCATTAAGACAGATGTGCGGGGTTTGTCTGAGCGGATCGGCGTGGCACGGGTCGAGCTGTCCAAGTGGCTAACCGCTGAGGCAAATGACCGGGTAGTGTATCTTATCTGAATCTTGAGGGCCGCAAGATTTTGGGCTCCAGAACATTGGCGTAAACACTATGAGGTTTAGCAAGATATCGCTTTTGGGTTGCGCACACTTTGTATGAACTAATTGCGTTCTGAGTGTGACATGAACACCTGAAAGCGACATGCATTTCTCTCAATGGTACAGGAACTTATGGACGTGAGTATGTCAGGCAGGCAATGCCATAGGGTATCGACGCGGGTCTGCGTCCCGCTCCTGGCGAGGCGGCTCGGTTGGAGTTCTGGGACGGCATTTGGCTCCGCAGGGGTGGGATGTCAGATGCGCTATACCCGATTGAGCGTGCAGAGAACTCCCCGTGTCCCTGACTGGCACGTGGAGAACACGCAGCATTCTGGCGATGCAGCTGCGAAGGAAGGCTCTTGTGGAAGAGAATACGATACATATAGCTTTTACTATTGATTGAGCACATAGTCGCAACATCGCGACTCCACGAGGCGGACCGTTTCGTAGCTTCCGTTGCCGGTCGCGCGTGGGAACGGGCCTGACAGGCACCCCGCGTACCCTTTCCAAGGTTATTTCCACGGGGTTGGCACTACGTCCCGTTCTCATGGCATTGATCTTCATGACTAGCAATGCGCCGCCTTTTCGATTACATGTCAAGTTTTTTTTCCGGCGTATTCCCTCCGATGTTTGACACCCCTGGGGCCGCCATGTGTTGACCCGGCCTTTTGCCACGATCCATCGCTCGAAGGCGCAGGTCCTTAGCCATCCATGAGAACCCACAGTAAGACCGGCAGATGCACATGCGTCCGAATATCGATGGAAGCCAGGGGTCTACATGTACAGACCGTACCACGCATGACGATCTCTTGGCAGCGTTGCGATGAGGGCCTATAAATCGTTCCCAGGAAGGCTTCATGGTTTCTTCCGCACGCCGTCAATCCTTCAGCTTCGCAGCCAGCCGTGATCCGTACGGGTCAGCAAGCAAATTTATCTTTGTGGTAATTCTCGTTTACCTCATACGTAGTCAGACATGCTTTCATTCATCGCTCCTTCGTTCTTTGGCGCTGCGGTGTTAGCAGTGGCATCAGCCCAAACCACATACGACTATGTCATTGTTGGAGGAGGCACCACGGGCTTGGTCGTTGCGAACAGACTAAGCGAAGATCCCAAGAGTGAGTACCGAAAGGTGAAGAGGTGCTTCGAGCAATGAGCTGACAATTGTTTACAGAGGCGGTCCTGGTTATCGAAAACGGCGCTCTCGACAATGGCACCCTATCCAGCATTCCCGGC